GTAATGGTATTCTAAAACCCTAGGCAAACCCCATAGATGAGTATTTATAGGCAAACTAACCCTAGGCTCAAATAAAACCCTAATATAACTCACTCGGCCCATAAACAATCCTAGGTTATAATCCACTGTCGGCAGAACTAAAAACTGTAAACCTAAACCTAATTAACTTAAACAATTAAACAAATAATGACATGCAAAATAAATAATTCACATAATAACAAGTTAGAAAAATAACAAAGCATTTAAACAATTAAAAGCGAATTTAATTCAATTAAAGAAAATAAAAACTACAATTTAAACCAACCCACTCTACAAATTCAAAATTTGACACCTAAGCACAAATCCACACAAATAAAATTAAATTAAATTCCAATCTTATCCTTTTGAAAACTAGGGGTATTACAGTATTCCACCTCTGATCACCATTCCAGTCCTCTGTTGCTTCTTAGTTCCATCCTGAAGAAACCCCTTACTTCTCCTTTATCCTCACAGGTTCTCATTTAAAACCCTCTCTATTTTCCTCTCACACTGCTCTTTATTCTCCCTCTGAAGACCCTGTTACGTGAATAGGTTGTTTCCCCAACCCTAGCAGACGTATAAGACCATATATATATATATATATATATATATATATGCATCCCAATCCTAAGTTTGCTTAAACTTATATCTAAAAGTTTTTAATTAAAACCTAATATAAGTCAGCGTCCAAACCTATATAAAAATAAAACCTTAATCCTATACTATATACAAGACCAAATAAAGCAATTACTTTAAACAAATAAGTCATATAAAACGCAGTCATTTAAACCATCAAATAATTAAATTAAATTCAATCCCAATTCAACAGTTAAATTAAATACACACAAATAATAATTAATCAATTAGGCAAATAAAAGAAATTCACTAAATAAAACAATTAATTTAAACAAATAAGTCATATAATTAAATCAAAATGAAATATAAATCAAAATTTAAAATTAAATTCCCATTTTATCCTTTTGAAAACTAGGGGTATTACAATGTTCATGTGTTTATCTCTTGGTTTTGTGATATTGATGCATGTCTATGTGTGTTGATGCTATGAATCTAGAGATTGTCAAGGCATAGTGCTTAAATAGAATACTCTTGTGATTTGTTTGATGGTTCATACTCATTTCTTGATGGACTGTGCCTCTACCTTAGCTTAGTTAGTTTAACTTTCATGCCTCTAGCTTAGTTGTAGTGTAATTGCCTTATTTTCCTAGATAGGAGGACAATCCATGCTTGTTGTTTGATATTCCATACTTATGAATGCAAGTAGTATAATTCTCTAACTTGTTAGTGTGTTGATTGTGAGCTTAAAGGAAGGAATAATGGCTTATTTTGATATATTGTGCTATTCATTAGGTTGTCAAGACATTATATGCTTAATTAGTCATCCATGCTTGTTGATTCAATTAATCACACCTCTTTGTATCACAATATATATTTCCTCTCATTCATTATCTAGAAAGGTGATGTTTAGTGGTGACCTCTAGATCCTAAGACCTCTCTCTCTTGTTCTCTACTCTTTATTTATTTTAGTTGCTTTGTATCGAATTTGTTTACATTGTAGTTTAATTAATCAATTAAACCATCTTTTGATCACTCGACCTACTAATCCGACCTTGTTTCCATTTCAAACACGCAACTAATCCCTTGGGACGATTCCTACTCACCCTAGCTATATTAGTAGTTAGAGGTAGTAGTGGCATTTTATAAATTCAAACTTGGTCAAACTTCATTACAATTTGGTTGCTTCAGCAAGCGATAGACCAAGTTTTCATTCCAGTTGATTTCCTCGAAACGCATAACTTTACTTTTGGAGAAAAGCTCGCCGGTTGTCTCTTTCTCCCACAAGGGTGTGGATGAAAGGATTCTTTAGAAATATTATTGTTTCTTAGGGTATTTTCTATAAATATATTTTGAAGATATTTATCTAAGGGGTTTTTAAGAAAATATCTTTTGGAATATATTTTCATTCTGGGCAGTTTTGTAGTTATCCTTTCTTGGAAGGGCCATTATGTAATTAACAAAAGTTATTACAAAGTGCATCATTTTCTGCCTGGATCCTCATATGGGATTCATTTTCACATTTCGTTGAGTTGTATATGCTTAGAATTTCCTTCCGGTTGTTTTCCCCACTGTTAGGATTTTCGGCCCTAGTTAGTGCTGAACTTGTTTAGGGCATATCTTTTTGCATGGGACTCAGTTTTCGACGCTGTTTCTTCTGTTGTTCATTTTTTTTCATTTATGTTCTTTTTCGTTCATGGTGTTTTACTGTTTAAGTGCGTTTGCGCAAATTCCACTTTTCTGGACATTGCAGGACCCGTTCGGGGCACTTTTTGGGATTTTCTATAAATAGGGGGTTTGAAAAATTAAAACATTTCATTTTCCCCTTCTTCTACACTACTGCAAATCAAATTTACAGCTCCCCCATGGCTGCCACCCTTATTCTCTCAAATTAACTCATTTCCCTCTTGTAAAATGTTGTAGTACCTTAGTGTTTATCGTAGGCCTTGGCGAGGCGGTCCTTTTCCCCTTATTAGAAGCCAATTCTAACCATTTTTGAGTTCGGGTTTGGATTTTCATGGTGCCTAAAGGGTTATTGTTGCTTTCCTCGTTGTCCCCGACAAAACCTAGAAATATCGTCGAATTCGGAGCGGTTTCCTTTTGGTGGGGATTTGAGATTAGCATGTTCTATCATATACATTAAATTGAGAATATTTGAATAGGTTTTGAGACTTTTATTTAATTATTTTCTTTGTATGGAATTTAATTCACATGGTTGTACCTAGCATTAAATGAACTTGCAATGTGATATTAAATTAGGCCTTTATATGTTCATTAACATATATAAAAATGAGAATATTTGAATGAGTGTGAAGAACTTTATTTAAATATTTTCTTGTATGAAGTTTAATTTTCCTAGTTGTAAATTAGGCAGAAATAACTTGTAATGTGATATTAAACTAGGCTTTGCCATGACCTTTGACTTGTATTAATTTTAGAATATTTGGAGTTACTATATAATCTTGAGAATTTAGTTATTTAATTTAACTAAATTCCATTATATGCTTCCATTGAAGTAGTTGGGTATTGAAGTTGTTTTCATGCTTAACTTGTAAATTTGGAACTTGTTGAATGATTACATTATAGTATTTAATGAGTAGAAGTTATAGTTTAACTTGCTTATATATCCATTATATATTTAACATGTCGTATGCCATTGTAGCTTGAAGACATAGGACGAATATTGTGTGTTTTACATGACTTGTTTGTGAATGGTAGTTGACTAATATATTGTGAATATGTATTATACCTTGATGCACAACTTGTTGATTCTAGGAAAGCGTGTATAGACATTGAAATATATTACGGCTAGGGCATGACTCTAGTACGGGGGATAAGAGCTCCCCCTATAACATTTAGTGCGCACTAGGTGGTACCCTGAGGGCTAATAACCCGAAAGCACCAACATCTTAGTTTTTATTCCAGATTTAGTGCACACTAGGTAGTACCTGGTGGGCTAGTAGCTTGAAATCACTTGCTTGGTCATTAAGACCACATGTCCTTTATCTTTCCGCTACTACTTGATTTCGCATTCAATTTCAAGTTGTTTAATATGGATTATTTATAGCTTGTGATGTGGTGTTTGACATTTCAATTAGGTATAATATACATGTGCTTAGTATACTTGCATGCCTTACTTTTCAATACAAGTTAATAACACTAAATTATTATAACTTGTTGTTTCCATATTTTAGATTTCGAGTTGTTAACTTTGATAATCTATGCATTGATGTGTTGTATTAGAAGTTCTAATGCTAGTTAAAATTGCATTGAAATTGTAATTTGTGTTTTAATTGTTCAATATAGCCTAGGATGATTCCTTAGACTAATGTGGAACATAGACGTTAGGTGGTCTGAACCATTTCAGTTGTTTTCGCATTTTAGGTTACAAGTTCATAACTTTGAATACTATGTCATGTTACGTTACACTATATGCTCCTATATTGTTTAATTGTATGAATGGTGTGGTTTATGCTAGAAATGTTCTAAGGTGGCTTAGGATGCTTTCTGAGTCTCACCTTTGACATATACGTTAGGTGGCATGACCGTATAAATTGATTTATATCAACTTAATAAGTTTGTAAAACGCTAGGTCTTTATATGCTCATCTCCTACGAGTAGCTTTATGTTACTCACCCATGTAGTGGGGACATTTTTCAGGTACAAGATTCAAGACTTGGGGCTTTGCATTTGCTTTGGGATGTCTTGTAGACTTGAAGTATTTATTTCATGAAAATGTTAGTATGAAATGGTATTTGTAGCTTTATATGTCAAAACTTGTATATTTGGTTTTAAATATATAATGAGTACTTAAGTGCGCCATTTGGGATGTATTTGACATGTATGTAACGAGGCCATGGGCCAAGGACTTTCATTTTGTCTTCTAAGTACTTTTATTTCTAAGTGATTTTGTTGAAAAATAGAAAAATGCAATACTTTAACTCCATTACATTTGCATGGGTGGTGGGAAGTGTATTTTAACACTTCCATATGGTCTCTTTATTTATGCATGAAGTGTCGCCAAGGGCTAAACGGTCTTTTGAAACCATTTGATAATTTTTAGTTTCAACACTACAACAAATAAGGTTTTCAGCGGCGGTCTAAACTGCCGGTTTTAGGTACAAAAAGCGCCGGTAATACATATACCGGCGGTTTTAGATAACCGCCGGTATAGTCACCGCCGGTAAGCTTCACCGGCGGTTTATAAGCAACTGCCAAGTTTGAAATCATTATTGGCGGTCCAATAAAACCGCCGGTGAAATTTTAATTATTGGCGTTCTTGTCTGCATGTGTATTTTAAGTAAACTATCATTGTAACTGTCTATTCCGGCACTTTGAAGCGCCGGTAATGTATGTTCTTTTTAGGGGCGTTTGTAACTGCCGGTGTTAGAATTTATCTCCGGCACCTTAAAGCGCCGGTAATGTATAATTTTTTCTTTTTAGGGGCATTTTAAATCACCCTTTTTAATGATATACTTCGGCAATTTAAAGTGCCGATAATGTATAATTTTTTACTTTTAAGGGCGTGTTAAATTGTCGGTGTATTGTAAGTGAACTGTAATATTTTTTTCTTTTGGGGCGTTTTAAACCGTCGGTAATGTGTTAAATTTTTTTTAAAAAAAATATTTTTTTCTGGTTTAATTTACATATTACCAAATATTTTATTTTGTTCCCTGTTTAATGAAATCACATGTAATTTACCAATCACAACACATCCAACAACTTAAATTTGATATATAACATAGAACAAAGAAAGTTGCATTAAAATTCAATAACATCCCATAACATCTAAGTTTTGTTTTAAAATGTCAAGTGCTAATAAAAGGTTCAAAAGGAAATCATGCAAAATAAAACATCAACATTTCATTGAGAATTTGAGTGAGACTATGCGAGGGCCTTGAGAATTAATGGTTCAATTTCATCTCTCGTCTTCCTTCAAATTGCCCTACATACATTTTAAATAAAAGCCACGAAACAAAGAATAATAATTAAGACAATTAAATGTATGGTTAAAAGAAAATGATAATTAAAATCTAAATGCTCACCAAGGATGAAATTCCATGACCAAAAATAAAGTTTAAGGATCACCAAGTGTAGTAGTTGAGGAGCCGGGTACCTTCACAATAAAATATAATTTTATTATGCACCTTCATAATATAATATAATTATAAATATATTAGGACTTATAAAATTTATATAGTTAAATGTTTACAAGGGTACAATAACAAAATTATTTACCTGTATATTAGAATTTTGATTTTCGATATGACGTAAAATCATAGCCATCTTTGCGTTCAAAGCTTCATATTTTTCATCATACTTGGCACGCATCTTGTCCACTTTCTCATTCATTTCTGCATGAGCAAGATGTGCCTCTTCTTCTGCTTGTGAGGTCCTTCTTATCAGCTCCGCTTTACTAGGAGATGGCCCCCAAAGACTAGTTGGCGTAGGTCCCAAGCCATACATCCGAACACGGCCCCTTCTTTCTTCTCCCCTAACTTGGACATAAAAATCATGGGGTGAAGGTTCATCTGGGTTAGAAGGCTGAGTTGCAGCAAGCTCTTCTAGTTGTGTCTGCATACATAGAATGGATAAGGAAACATAAAAAGATAAAAAATATCAAATATAATAAATTTTAGTACTCATATTTTACACTTAATCAAACTAGAAAATAAATAATTGAAGGTCTAAAAAAATTCTTACAATCATTTTGGCAGCATGTTCATCACTAGCTTTGCCATCCTTCTTACTCTTATGTGTTGCGCAAAATAGTTGAGCACGAGTTGGCGCCTTCCCTGATTCCAACTTCATCTGTTTTTTTTTTTTTTTTTAAATATATATATATATATATATATATATATATATATGTTATTATAATTATATCGCACTGATGTATAATAAATTGTGTGACATACAAGTGATTAACTTAAAAAAAAAAACAGACTTAACCTTTTCAGCCTTCCGCGCATAACTCATTGTCCCAGTTGTGTGCAGCATTGTTTGCTTAGAGCGATTTACTTCATTTTGTTGGCTTTGTTTCTAAAACAAAGGAATAAGAAGGTATATATTAGCCTTTTAAATTGTAAACACACACATGTTATATATGAGCTAAGTAGATTAATCCTTATTTTTAAACAAATGTTATATATGTTACAGGTTAAGTGAACACTAACTATGAAAAAATCAGTAGGATGTCTAACAACTAAATGATTCAACATTCTTTTGTACATTGACTTCCTCTTTGTTTTTACAACTAGAGTTGTCCTGTAATATCATTTCTACTCCATTTATTAGTTTCTTGCTAGTTGCTTTTGCTTGTAATCTATATCAACTTCTAGTTTTTTGGTCAAATTGTTTAAGAATAAATAGAACTTGGTTCTGCTACATTACTATCCTTTAAGGTTACTTTCATTTCAGGTTGTAAATGACTTGTTGAATCCAGCGGGATAGAATCTAAGAATCAGAGAGGACACTCAGGTACTTTTTACCATTTTATTGTTATTATGATTTGGTAATTGTTATTAGCTGAACTTGGCAAAGCTTTAGCAGAAAATGTGTTGAATATGACACATACAAGGATACATCAAAAGCTTCTGTTTCTTAACTCTCATGACATACGAGCTGGAGCCTACAATTTTTTTTTTTAGGTAAATGGGGCCTTCAGTTTTTGTAAGGTGCATATGGACAATTTTTTTTTTTTTGTTTTTGTTTTTTGGGGGGGTGCGTTCCAGAATTTGTATGCAAGGCTTAAATTTTGAACTTAAAACCTATCAAGGATCAAAGTCCTAAAAGCTCCTGGCTATGTGTCATAATACCTCTCAACAAATCTATGGCCATGTGCTTAGTTTCAGCACTGGATCATGCTACCACTGTCTACTTCTTACTTGACCAGTTACATTTACAAATTCTAAAAGGGTATTTGAATGACAACTTATTTCAAATGTTAGATTAATTTCATGGTCTAACATTGAATTTTCTCTCTCTACTTCTCTGTTCCTTGACTGAAAAAAACTAGAATAAAATGCTAGAAGCTGACTGAAAAAAACTAGAATAAAATGCTAGAAACTGACTAGGAAAAAATAGTAGAAACTGACTAGGAAAAAATGCTAGAAATCATTCAACAACCAAATCAAGCAACCAAACAGCAACCCTGAACCACCAATTCAGCCACCCATAGCAATCAACACTCGAATTCGAACTCCAACAACCAAATCAAGCAACCAAACAGCAACCTCGAACCACCAATTCACATGTCCTCTTTAATTATCCAATTGTAAATAAGCATTATCCAATTTTAAATACACATTAGATGGGAATATACCTATATATACATGGAATGATAAATCTATTATTATTAAATAACCTAAATAACATTATGAATTACCTGTGCTGCCTCTGTACGCCAATATCTAATGAGATAATCCCATTGGTCCTCCTCAACACTTGGTGGTGGGTTTGCATATCGTTGTTCATCTGTACGCCAAATTTTATAATAGTTACTTTTAATTTCACTTTTCCAATCTCTCCATTTATGACCAAGGGATGATAATGTCCAATCTTTTGAGATTTCTTCTACTGCAAACTTGCCCTGCATATAAAAGATAAATAAATAAAGAATCGAGTAATTAAAAAAAAAAATTTAACTCTAGAAATGAAATGTGTATACAAGTGAAATCAGTCAGTCAAAGATGTGAAGAGTCGAAAAAATTTTACCCGAACCGTCGTCCACATGTCCTCTTTAACTATTTCAGGGACTTTCCTCCAATTTTTGTAGTTCAAGGGAGCTGCAAGACCATTACGGGCAATTGTGCCCAAATAATTAGCGAATTTTTTTTCATCGGCTCCATTAGGCTGTCCATGCTCATTCACACTGTAAAATGGTATAATAATAAATAAGTCATCGATTTGGACCAAATAAGTAAAATGGTATAATAATAAATAAGTCATTCACACTATAAAATGGCTTCACTTGCATGCATTTCCTAAAACTTTATAGTCATTCAATGCCATCATTTAAATAAAGTCACCTTAATGGTATCAGGCCATTCTTTTTGGTGTCATGTTGTACCACATTTGCGCAGCGTGTGGGGCCTCGAGTCTTCGTCGGTGTTATTAACTCATTGCTTTCAGTAGTCCCCACGTCCTCTTCTTGTGAACCAAGGGAAGTATGGGACTGCGAATTTGAACCCTGAGAAAGTCCTCCATGCAATTCTAATTCCAAGTTTGTTGTTGCCTTACGTTTCATTATGTTCCTGCATAAAGCTAACAAACCTTTGTTGCCATGTTTATTCAAGCTGGTAGTTAAGATGAAATTTAGGCTGAATATATTAGGTCTTCAAAAACATCAAAATTTGGAAAAGTAACACACTTGAGAACAATTACAATATGCAAGAAGGAAGTATAAATTTACTTAAGTATGATTGTACCACAGTTTTATTTGTTTTAGGACAATATCAATTTGAAATATGATAAAAAAAATAAATAAATAACTAATATGATGTATACTCTTTTTACTTACCAAGTTATAAAAAATGAGTAAGGGATATTTGCAACATTCTAAGTATGTTATTCATCTGGAATATCTTCTTTTTCCGTGTTTGCTGATGAAGATTTATCAACCATTGTTCCAGGCACATCACCTCTATCCCAATGAATGTGATCATCAGTTGCATCCGAGTGTAGAGAACTAAATGGTTGCTCAAATCCATAGGTCTTAGTATCATCTTCAGGAATATCATATAAATCACGAGGTTTTGTCCCTATAACAACATGCCAATCTGTATCAACTGGGTCTTGAACATAAAACACTTGCTCAGCCTGAGATGCTAGAATGAATGGTTCGTCAGTTCGCATTACACGTGAAAAATTAACGAGTGTAAACCCAAAATCATCCTCCTTTATCCCTCTACCCTTAGAGAGTACATCAAACCAATCACACTTGAACAATACAACCTTCCTTTCTTCATTGTAGTCCAACTCAATGATATCAATCAATAATCCGAAGTAATGAACATTTCCTACAATAGGATTTTGATCACTGGCTCTTGCATAACTTGATGTGTGTGTTTTTAAAACAACACCACTATTTTGGGTCTTCCTCTGATTATCACGATCTCTAACATTAAACTTAAACCCATTAATCACGAATGACTTAAATCATTTGGAAACGACATTAGGATCTCGAGCTAGCCATCGAATCTCATTAGGGATAGGATCCTCCATATTCCGCAGCTGTATTTTCAAAGATGTAAGTTTTACAATAAAGTAAATAGCATATATAATATAAAATTTAATTAACCGTTCTATGTGTAGATACTTACACATTCATTAAACCACTTATGAAATGATAGATGAGACATTGATTGTATTTGTCGTGGCTTTAAATTCCGTTGCCTTCTTTTAAGAAATTTCTTATGCTTTCTATAATGAAAAAATATCATACTCTATATGTTATATTGTTAACAACAAATGAATAATAATAATAATAACAACTAGGTCAAATATTGTAAACTTTTCACTTACTCAATGAATTGTGTAGCTCCGTCATAGTTAAATAACACATACCGATGAGCTTGTGTTTGACAATCATCATCTAAAACAATTATCTCCTGTTTTCCTAAGGCACGACCTCTAGGGCCAAAAGTAGACATCTCTTCTCCATCATCAAGGTTGTCATCATTCCTTGAGGGCCTATTGAACCTTGTCTCCACGTTTGCTAGGTATCTTGAACAAAAATTTAAGCATTCCTCAGCTAAATACCCTTCTGCAATTGAACCCTCTGGGCGACTTCTATTGCACACATAATTTTTTAAGGTTAAAAGATACCTGATAGGATACAACAAAAAAATGAGAAGTATTTGCAATATTTAGTGGGGAAAAAAGCCTACGAAAATAGTGCAAAAAAGTTAAACCTCTCAAATGGATACATCCAACGATATTGCACTGGTCCTGCGATCTTTGCTTCCTGAGCTAAGTGAATTGATAAGTGGACCATCACATCAAAAAAAGATGGTGGGAATATCATTTCCAATTTACAAAGTGTTAAAGCAATCTTATTTTGCAAATTGTCCAACTCAGCCGGTATGAGAGTTTTTGAACATAATTCCTTATAAAAGTTACTCAACTCAACAAGTGAAGAGCATACATTCTTTGGCAATAGCTTGCGAATGGATACTGGTAATAGTTGTTGCATTAGGATATGGGAATCATGGCTCTTTAAACCGCTAATTTTACGCTCTTTCAATTTCACACAACGTGATATGTTAACTGCATATCCATCTGGAACTTTAACTTTTTTCAACGCCCGACAAAAGATTTTCTTTTCAAGTGGAGAAAATGTGTAACTTGCTGAAGGCAAATAATATTTGTTTGCACCACGTTCCTGGGGGTGAAGTGAATGCCTTATTTGCATCTCCTGTAAGTCGAGTCTTGATTCTAAACCATCCTTTCCTCGACCCGGTTCATTCATCAAAGTATAAAGTACATTGTCGCATATATTCTTCTCAATATGCATCACATCAAGATTATGACGAATAAGAAGGTGCTCCCAATAAGGTAATTCAAAAAATATACTCTTCTTCCTCCAATTGAATACTGGATTTTCATCCATTTCATCCACTTGTGCAGCATTCCCCTTGCCATCATCCCCTTTCCCAAATGCTGGAAAGCTAATGCCCTCTAGTTCATGTAGCACTTCTGTTCCAGATAACATAGGTGGTGCACACCTAGTCTCTTCTGTTCCATCAAAAGCTGCTTTATTGCGTCTGAATCTATGACATTGCTCAACAAAAAGCCTATGGCCTGTATAATAAATTTTTTTGCTATGCTTTAACCTACAAGAACAAGTGTCTTTAAGACAAACTGGACAAGCCAAATACCCCTTTGTACTCCAACTAGATAAGTTTGCAAAAGCAGGAAAGTCACTTATAGTCCACAATAACGCTGCATGTATGCGAAACATCCCTTTTCTCGACGTATTATAGGTATCCACCCCTTCAACCCACAATGCCTTTAATTCTTCTATAAAGGGCTGCAAATATACATCAATATCATTTCCAGGACCCTTAGGACCAGGGATTAAGGTGGACAGTATGAAAAAGGTTGTTTCATGCATATCCACCCTGGCAAGTTGTATACAGCAAGAACAACAGGCCATGTACTATGTGCAATACTCATAGTCCTAAATGGGTTGAAACCGTCTGATGTTAGGCCAAGTCTAACATTTCTAGAATCCCTAGCAAACTCTGGATACTTTTTGTCAAAATAATCCCACGCTAGAGAGTCAGCAGGATGTCTTAATTTTCCATCTTTTATGCGTTCTTCCTCATGCCATCGCATATCTAAAGCTATCTTATTTGACATGAACAACCGTTGAAGTCTTGACTTAAGAGGGAAATACCTTATAACTTTGGCTGGAATTTTTGTCTTTTTTGATGGGGGTGATGTACTTGTACTGCCCTCGGAATGAGTGTCAAAATCCTTCCACCTAGACTTGCCACATTTATGACATGTTTCATCATTAGCGTGCTCCTTCCAGTACAACATACAATCAAAGGGACATGCATCAATCTTATCATACTTGAGACCTAAGTTACTAATTATCTTTTTTGTCTCGTAAAAAGATTTTGGCAGTGTCTCACCTTCTGGTAGTACATCTTTCAAAAACATTAGCAACTCACTAAATGATTTATCAGTCCAATGATGCAAAGTTTTCAACAAATATAGTTTCACTATAAAAGACAACTTCGTAAAGTTTTTACACCCAGGATATAGATCTGTTTTTCCATCATCTAGAAGCTTGTAAAACTTATCTGCCTCTTCATTAGGGCCCTGATGATACTCATTTTCCCTATCAGCTTGTTCACCCATTTCATTTTGAATTCCAAAACCCTCATATAAGAGTTCGTGCATGTCATCATTATTTACATTGGAGTCGATGTGCTCGTATAAGGTGTGCCCATCATTATGCCTAGAAGACGAAGGTAATTGTTCTCCATGATAAATCCAAGTTGTGTATGTTTGGATAAACCCATTCCACATCAAGTCATCCAAAACTTCTTGTCGTGTTTTCTTGATACAATTCCCACAATTGTTACAAGGACAATATATGCGTCCACTCTGCCCAACTCGCTTAAACGATGTATCTAGAAATTGTTCAACGCCATTCGAGTATGTAGTACTTATCCTATTTGTATAGTAAGAAAGACAAAAGTAAAAATGAATTTATCGTAAATATCTAAACCAAAATGAGAATTAAGCTTTATTTATTTATTATTTTTTTGAAAATTGACGAGACTAAAATTTAAAGTACCTTGACTCCGTAATCCAACTTCTGTCCATTATGATAGATTCTATAACCTAATGAAAGAAATTATATATGAATCTCTACAAAATAATAAATATATTACAACAAAGTTACAAAAGTAACAAAGTAATAAAAATTATTTATTATCCTCATGAAGAATAATACATATGAGAGAGAGTGTTGGTTTTAACTATAAATACAAGTTTAATGCATTGGATTTCTTTTCCTTTTCCTTTTACAGTTTTCTTTTCCTTTTTCAGTTTTCAGTTTTCTTTTCCTTTTTCCTTTTCAGTTTTAATACATACAAGTTTACTTTAATTCATGACAAAAAGTTATGGCTTGACTAGTTAATCTGTTTTGTGAACACTAAAACCAAAAGTTAGGGTTCACATCCATAACAAAAGTTGCTGGAATTTAAAGAATATGACAAATTGGAAGAACCCATGTATCTCACCAATCAATGAATTCTTAAGAAAGAGACCCTATTAACATAATACAAGCCACAAAAATACAAACTACAATATAAGAACAATAAAAACCCATCTGTTTAGAAAACAAATAAGCCAAAGCAGCAGAACCAACATGAAAGCCTTAAAATCATAAGCCCCCAAAATTGGCAACAACATACCGAAAATCGGCAACAACATTACCCTATTTCCTTCAAAAATCAGAAGCCCCAAAATCGGCAACAACATACCAAAAATCGGTAACAACATTACCCTATTTCCTTCAAAAATCAGAAGCCCCAAAATCGGCAACAACATACCAGAAATTATATATGCAGTAGTTGGAGCTGATTCGTTCAAGAAAGAGTAGAATGGAGAAAAACCCAAAACATATATGCAATTGTTCATCTTTACTTAAGAAATTAACAACAATATAAGTTAATTACTTAAGAGAGAGAGAGATAAGTGGAGCTCTTAAGAAGGGAGGGATTAGGGTTAGAAGTTTTTAGAACTAACCGTATGCCAACTGAACAACCACCACTATGCAGATCTCTGATGCGCCACCAATCGGCCACCACCGCCGTGATCTTCCCTGCGCCACACCAACCGCACCACCAAGGTTTGAAGCCGTGAGTTAGTGAGAGAATAGAAGGGAGGAATAGAAATCGTGTGAATAGTAATAGCCTCCCCTAAACGTGATTTTTAGGAAAAAAAAAAATAATACATAAAATAATAACAATTAAATAAAAATTACATAATTTCTGGCATATTTTTTATACCTGCTGGAATTATTTAATTAATTCCGGCGCTTTTATAAACACTGCCGAAAATACTACATATATACCGGCCGTTTTTATCATACCGCCGGTATTATAACCAATAATGGCAGTTTATTATAAACTGCCGGTAAAAATTAATTAACAACGGCACACACATAAAAACTGCCGGTAAAAATGATATTTCTTGTAGTGCAAGTTTCTTTAAAAGCCTTTTTAGGCAAAATTTGAGATTTAATTGGTGATATTTTGTATTTAGTGACCATTGAGACCATAGGCCATTGGAACACGTGTAAATATGTATATTACATTTAAGTGAATGCTCACCTTGCACAAAATATCACATTTGTATAAAATGGATGCTTGTTGGTCTCAAGTTCTCCATTTTAAGCATTTTCTTTGCATTTTGAGGTTCGGATAGGTCGTATTTTGCATCGGGCAGTTTTGGGAGCCACAAACCATTCCCACATGCTTAAAATCACTAAATACGTTTGCATGCATGATCGTTTTAGCACACAACACCATTTAGGGTCAAATGAACACTTGGTGCACAGTTGTTTTTTTTTTTTTTTTTTTTCGTTTTTGACCTAATTTAATCTGGGGGCATTTTGGTAATTTATTTTGAAAAACAAATTCCGGCCTTGTCATGGTCACATAGAAAACATGATTTTAGTGGGGGTTTCTTCACAACATTTTTCTACAAAATGCCGTCTCGATCTCGAAAACCCTGCGTTAAATCTGATTTTATGTGCACATATGCACTTTTTGAAAAAGTCTGTTATAAGGGCATTTTAGGAATTTTCCATCAAAAATAAATTTTTATTTTGACATGGTCAGCTTGGAAATATTATTTTGAGGGGGGTTTTTTCTTCATGTTTCTCTAAAAAAATGTTGTTTAGTGCCTCAAAATGGCACACGAATTTTAGTATTTTGCCCAAGTCACTATTCATTGTTGTCAAAACACTATTCATGGCCGCAGCGACGTCAAAACTTTGTTTTGACTTTTCTTTTCCATCCGGACTCCGAATCAAGTGATTTTTGAGTCTAACTTGATTAATTTTTTGGTTATCTATTTAATGGTGTGCTCGGTGGCACCCAAATCTTGCCAAAAATTACTATTTTGCCTTTGGGGGTTAAACTTGTCCAGTTTTCTTTTCAAGTTGCTTCCACTATGTGAAAACAGATGTGTCTTGGGAATGATGTACATTTCTGGAGATGTCTCTCTATGTAAAAAGACTATTTTGCCCTTGGGGGCTTATTTGGTCTTTTTCTGATCTTTTTCTTCAGCGTTAGTTCTCTTTAAGTTCTGTGACCTCATGGAAAGTCAACTTGGTGTCCTAGGGATATTGTATATTCCTAGAGACTTATTTTCTATTTTTCGCTTTCGTATTCGGATCCATTATCGGGTCAAACTCTGGTTCATCATAGGATACACTGGCTTGAAAAACTAGGGTTGTTACCTGAAATCTTTGTTGGTGATTTTGTAAAGCCAAAGGCTGTACAAACCTATTTTCTGGTAGAAGTTCATCATTAACAGCTTCTTCTGCGACTGAGCTTGAAATAGTTAGATATTCTTGCATAATGGACAGTAAGATATAAACACTTCATGTTCATTTCAGCCAATTTACAAGCTAACCTTTAAACTTTCAAAAAGGGTATACCAATCCCAACTCAGAATTCTTCAATTTCTCTTTCAACCAATGACCTACAGCTTTGTTTCAGTGAATAAAACCTGCTCAATTGATTAAACAAGTTGTACAAGTAAGGATTGAACAATGTATGTTAAATTCAGTTACAAACAGCTTTCTGTAGGCTTAGTATTTCTGCAACAGATAAATCTTTATGCTAAGGGTACAAATGTAATTCTGCAATGTCTCAGACCTGAACAATACTCTCAAAACCTTGGTTCATCTTTTCATAGAAGCACAAATCTCTAACACATCAATATACATATTGACGAGGCCGCTTGTATACGCCAAAATAATGTAGTGAATGTGTGGTTCAAAAAAATCCTTTTAGGTTAAGTTTAAATTTATAAAAACCACTACTACTAATGTAGCAAGAGTGAGTAGGGATCGTCCCAAGGGATTATACGTGTTGGAATTTAATTTCGACTCTAGTGGATCACAAGATTACAAAGGAGAGATTGGTTGATTAAACTAAGATGCAAGGAAATTAAAATACAATTAAAATAAACTAAGTTGAGTTAGGGATTTAAGAGATGAGAAGTGAGGTCTTGGGATGCATTGGAATCGCCACCAAGCTCGTTCACCGAACCACATACTTTCAACTAATTTGGGGAAAATATTCTTGTGAATAAAATGCGACTATCAATTGCAATATTAAGTATGGACCATCAAATTCAATAATGTATTGTCTACCTAACCAACAAATAAACTAAGTGTAGAACAACCCATCAATTCTATGCATGACCCATCAAACTATTCATAATTGTAGCACACATCAATCTAGAGAATCATGGAATTTGCAATAATAAGCCATGGAATATCGAATCAAGTAAAGATTATCTACCTACCTACAAGCATGAATTAAATTGTAGAACAACCCATCAAGCATAAGAATAATCCATCAAATTAATTGACAAACCCATTCAATGAATACCATGCATAGCCATCACTAGCTCCTCAATTAATCACACATAGACATGCAACCAACATAGAAAAACTATTGTACAAATCAATTCCCAAATAATCACACATAAGACAACCTGTAATCATAAAAGAATCAATTGAAAGAATTAATCCACATGAATCATGTAAGACATAATTCCTAATTTAATCACACATAGATATGTAAATAAACTAGAGAATTAATAGGAAGAATTAAACCACAGAAATCATAGAAATATACCAAGATTTATTTTATTCACAAGGCTAAAACATTAATCACAAGATATTATTCCTCAAAAAGTATGAAACAGATAGAGGTTTAGATTACAAACTTGGGGCTCATCCAAACCCCAAGGAGAAGTCTAGCCAATCATGGAGGAGGTAGGTGTGATCTTGGAACCCTCAAGGGCAATCCCCAAACATGGCTCCATTTTCTTCCTCTTTTTCTTTGTTGAATTCTAAAGAGAGAGAGTGTGTAGATCTTAAGATGTGTTCTTGGTGCCTCCACTCTTCTCTTTTCTTCTAACCCTAATCTCTAATTTTTCTAGAGAGAGAAAATAAAATTATATTGTAAAAATAAAATGATGAAAAAGCTCCTTTACAAAATGGTTCAATTCCCTTTAAATATAAGGTCCTTTTCTTAGTCACTAAGTCAGAAATATAGCCCTAAAAATATCTAATCCCGCAACTATGTGGTAGGTGGAGTTCAGGCGCGCGAGAATAAGACAGCTCGCTACCAGCACATTTTCGATCGATCAGAGTTCGATCGATCCAACTTTTCTTCAATCGATCAGAGTTCGATTGATTTCATTTTTCTTCGATCGATCTCATTTTTCTCCGATCGATCTGACTTGGCAGTTTTCAGCATTAGCCTTCTTTTTGCTCCAGATCAGCCTCCTTTTGGTTCAGATTCTCACTAAGACTTAGTTTGACTCCAAAAAGGCCTTAACAAACCATTTTTAGCCCGTTTTAACTTTATTGACCTGAAATAGACAAAAACATGAAATTAGACTAAAACGGGAAAATAAGATAGATAAATGGACTAAAATACCCTTGCTTAGGTGCTCAAATGGGGTACATTTGAGCACTCATCACATATCAATTACGGCCTTAAAGACAGTTCTCAGCAAGTTTCTGTAGAAACCTGAAAGTTGATGGTAAATCTGTAATTTTCAACATGAACAGCCCAAGAATTGAACCTCATAGACTTAAATCAATATGGTGGACTTGCTCATATAACAAACACTCATGTGAGAGTAAGATAAATCATTTTAAGACTCAATCACAACAAATTTTCTTCAGAAAACTAAATCATAACAGGTTTGAGAAATTTAAAATACATACAGCTTGAAATTGGTCAAGTGAATGGTTGTTGTAGATGAGTTATGATGAATTATCATGTCTTGATCTTGTCTAAGTTCTAGAGCAAATTTTAAGTGTATTTAACCTTTCAAAAACAAGAGTTAGAATCAGCAAGATAACAACACATGAAACTTAATAATCATGAAAAGTCTTGTCCCTGAGAGAATGAGGTCTTGTAGAGATGTGAAGTTGACAAATAATGAACACACAATGACCATAGAAGACCTTGTCTCTGAGAGGAGGTGGTCTTGCAAAGCTTTAAAGCTATGTGAATTTTAGAATCAATTCAAACTTGAGAATTCCTGACAAACAATGAACACACAATGACCATGGAAGACCTTATCTTTGAGAAGAGGTGGTCTTGTAAAGCTTTGAAGCTGTGTGAATTTTAGAATTAATTCAACCTTGAGAATTCCTGAATTTGTAAAATGGTAAGCCCAGTAATTTCTTATGTAAGTGTTTGCAAATTTAGAGAGTCTTAAGCTTTCTCCACTCATGTGTTGAGTTTGAACTTTTGACCTTATCTTCAAATGACTTAGGCAATTGTAATTCCAATTCCATTTTCCGCTTAAGTTACAGATCCTAGGGGTATATATTAAAACTTCATTGAAGATAGTTTCCAAGCTGGCCTCATCATTTTGATTTTAATGAAGTGTTTCTTGTACTTTCCAGCCAAGTGTGTATTGTCTAAAATATTGAGATTTCTTTTGCATAACCTTCTGTCAAAGACCTTTTTGTATCTTAGTTTATTTGCAATGGAAACCACCTTATCAGCTGAATCTTGTTCAAATTCCATTTCATCCATCATGAGCATTGGAGGACTTTCATCTTCTTTTCTCTTCTTCCACAAAGATTCCTTTGACCTGAACATTACAGTGTTGAACACAATAAAGGAG